TTTAGAGGATAAAAAAAGCTCAGAACATATAGCATGTAACCTTTAGTTCCCTCCCCGCCCAGCCAAAGCAGAAGAACCCGGTACAAGTCATGCAGTGATTTTTAGTGAGGCACTAAAGGAGTGGGGCTCCTTTGCTCCGTGCAGGCAGAGAAGGGCCCTGTTCCCCGGCGCAGTTTACATGCGCTATCACAAGCACGTGCAAAGGGTTCCTCAGGTCAACTCCTCATCCAACCCCTGCTTAAAGCCAGACCAGGATGCTGAGGGCTTTGGCCGGTTGGGCCTTGTAAAGGACTGAGGCGGCACAACCTCTGTGGGCCCCCATCTCAACACTCCCCTGTACTCGCAGGGAGTGATATTTTTCCTTAAGGCAAGCAGGACCCTAACACGTTTCAATTTATAAAGCTTTGAAAAGTGACACGATTCTCCATCCAGCTAATCAAAGATGCTATGAACTGGAAAACAACACTCACGGGTTTTTCCTTTCAGCATCAAAAACACCACCTCAAAAAACATGTCTCGATTAAACCAAGATGCTGCCGTTGCGCCCTCTTGGGGCACAAGGGACCACAAGCCACATCTTGAGCATTATTTTTCTACACGCAGCTGGACCCAAGAACCCCGACTCCTCTTTGCTAATAACAGATGTGGGCCAAGTTAAATCATCCCATGACTCCTCCAGGAGAAGGATGCAAACAGCCACAGCTCACCCAGCCGTTACCAAGACAGGCCCCGCTTACAAGTTAGGGATCCCAACATGCTGCAAGACCTTATGCTGAAATGCTTTGACATACTGCTTTCGGACATGTTTATCACTGAAATCCATCAAAACACATTCAGTTACTTGAATTTACACTAGATTAGAGTCTGGGTCTTTTATCAACTTCTTCCAAAGTTTTGAGCTCAGAGGAGAAAGAAACGGCTATCTACATTTTTCAATGTACAATGCTTCCCAGTGGAGTCTTAATGTTTAACAAACACCACCCGTGTAACATGCCTGCAATGTAAGCGATTTATAAATAAGAAGGAGGGGAAAAGAGAGATTAAGTGATGCGCAAAAGGTCCCAAGACATCTATGATACAGTTTGGTATATAGAAATGCAGGCTTCTGTCTCCCAGGAGGCTTAACCTCAGTCAAAAGAAACTACCACTAATGCTGTGCTCCAAAGTGTTCAGGCCAGGTTTTGGCATCAAACTTCTGCAGCTAAGAAAACTACATTCTTGCTACAATATAGAAGCACCCTGGGATGGAGGCTGCTGGGAGCATATGAGAAATTATGCTTTGCCCCAGGTGAACAAGAGGCCTCACAGGTGAATTAAATCCAAAACTACAGAAAAGCCTTCATTTTTTAAAAAAAAAAAAAATCATCTATTTGCAATCACTGCAAACAATCACACTGGAAGGAGCTATACTACAACATCCAAGCCTGCAAGCTCTCT